GGAGGAGGAGGAGGAGGAGGAGGAGCGGCGGCGGGGGCCCGGCGGGCTCAGTGAAGCGGCCTCGCGTGCTGCCGGGAGCTGGCGGGCGGAGGCCGGGCGCCACCCCCGCGGGCTCGGGCCCCGCGTGGCCCTGGGGGCAGGAGGCTAAAACCCACCCCCACCCTTAGTCCCGACCCCGTCCCCGAGCCAGCGATTCAAGCAAGGGGGTCGCGACTGGGGGTGGGGGTGGGGTTCTCTCAATTCTTGGGCTCCGGAAGAAAAACACCCCCACCCCCAGTCCCGACCCCCTGAATCGCGGGTTCGGGGGTGGGGTCGGGACTGGGGGTGGGTTTTCGCTTTCCCATTGGGGCAAGGGGCTGCGGCATCCGTCCGGGGCCGTCTAAGGGCGATATCCTGGGAGGCTCCCCAGAGGCCAGGCCCCCCGTGGAGAAGCTCGGTCCCTGGGCTGGAACTCCAGACCTCGAAACCAGGGTGTGTACATCTCTCTCTCTCTCTCTCTATATATATATATATATATATATATGTATATATATATATAAACAAATAAAGATGTATAGATGTACACACAAATATTCTTATAACAAATCCCTCCCTGTACACACATCCGGCCCTGGGCGCTACCACCAAGCTGAAACTACAATTCTCGGTTCCGGGAGCCCTCTGGGCCATCCTGCGCCGCCCGAGCGGGCCCAACATTGCTTCCCGGACGGTCCCGCGGAGCCCCGAAACGGCCCAAGGCCGCTCCAGAACGGCCCATGAGCGCTCAAAGAGGGCCCAAGCTTGCTTCAAGACTGCCCAAGAGGTCCCCAAGACGTCTCAAGAGGCCACCAAGGGGACCCCCCGACGCAAAAAATGTCCCACACGCGCTTCTTTGGTCCCCACGGCGTCCACGACGGCTGCTCAAGAGACCCAAAGATCGCCCAGGACGCCCCAGGACGCCCCAAAGCCTCCAAGATTGCCCAAGACGGGCCCCAGAGGGTCCCAAAAGGCTCCTCAGAGAGCCCCAAGAACGCCAAAGGAGGCCCCCCAAAATGCCCAAGACGTGCCCGGAAGCTCCTAAACCCTGAGCGCGCGATCTCGCGCCCTCACACAGTACGAGTGGCGCAACTGGCTTTCAGGGGGGCCCCGAGACGACCCAAGAAGACCGTGAAACTGCTCACAAGGCCCCGCAAGACAGGTTCAGATGGCGCTATGAGTCGTTCGAGCCCTATAAGCCCTGTGAGGACTACGCTCCCTACGCACCCTCCAATGCGCTTCACGGGCCCATGAGCCCAATGAGCTCCTGAGCCCTACGGCACCTCTGGGCCCGACGACCGTACGAGCCCTTCGAGCCTTGCGAACCCTAGGACCCCAGTCAGCGCTACGAGCCCTGTGAGCCCCATCAGCCTCATCTGCCCTATGAACACTACGAGCCCTCTGCAACACGTACGATCACGAGCCCAATGCGCCGTACGACCTCATCCGCCTTCTAACCCCTTACGAGCCCTATCCTCGTCGGCTCACGAGCTCTTCGACCCTTCCCAACCCGGTCAACCCCTACGACCCAAATGAGGCCTACGAGCCCTGTGAGCCCTACGGGCCCACTGGGCCCTCTGGGCCCTATGTCGCTTGTGGGCCTCACAAGGTCTACGAGCACTATCAACCCGATCGGCCTCATGGGCCCCACGGCCCGCGCCACCCCCAAGAGCCCCAAGAGCCCTACGAGCCCCAGGAGCTCCGTCGGCCCCATGAACATTATGACCCCGACGACCCGGCCTGAACCTCATGAGCCTCCTACGCCGAATTCGCACAGTAAAATTATGAGTCCCATGAACCTCAGAAGCCCTAGGAGCCGACCCGCTCTATGGAGCCCAAGGGCCAGTGGCTTCTGTGAGGCCACGGACCCTACGAGCCTCCGCGCCCAATGAGCTCATCAATCCGAAGAACACTCTGAACTCAAGTACGGCTGTGGGATCTCGGAACCTCATGATCCCCAGGAGCGCGCTGCCCGAAGTACCCCTCTTCCACATTCGCGCTCCGAGCTGTTGGGCCCCAATGGCGGCGGAAAGCCCTTCAGCCCTCTGACCTTGAGGAGCCCATGGGTGCTATCAGCCCGCCCCATTGCCGAAATACACCGCCGTGCTGGCGACTACCAGTCCCGGCGCGCCTGGGTGGCTCCATGCGACCAAGATGTTCAAGGCGAAGCTAAGCGAGCCGGTAAAATCTTGTGTACATGCACATGTATGTATACATATATATATATGTGTATATAGATAAGTATTCAACTGCCCTCGACTGCAGAATGGGACTTTTGCAAGGAGCGGCAGAATCAGCAACAGAAGGGTGAGGGGGCGGAGAGGAGGGGGAAGAGGAGAAGAGAAAGGAAGGAGAGGCGGGGAAGAACGCTGCGGCTTCTGCGTTTCCCCCCGCCGTTCGGCATCTGCTTCTCAACATCGGCATATGTTTCTGGTCAGCCAGAGGGTGGTATCTTATCAAAATGGAGCTCTCGCCGCAGCGCCGCTCAAATACGTTGTCAAAACTTGCAACAGTTACACGGATGGAGGCGGGTGCCTTTTCAAAACGAAGGTCTCCCCCTAGTGTACCGCGCACTCGTCTTACATGTTCGCAACAGCTAGAAGGATAGAGGACGATTATTTTTCAAAATGGGGCTCTTGCCTCAGCGCCGCGCACATGTCGCCGAACCATTGGTCCTCGACGCGCCCAAATGGACGACGCTGACATCACGGCAAACCCACGGCAAACCCTGCGCCCAGCGCCCAAATATCGACGCTGGCACCGCGGCCAACGCACGGCGAATCCACTGCGTCCGAGGCGGCGTTTGCCCAGGTGGCCGAGGCTCCCTCCCCGAGACGTAAGGCCGCGCGTCGGGTTCAAACGGCGCGGCGACAGGCGGAAAGTTCAAAAGTGACCAGGGTGGAGGGCGGCACACGTTCTAAACGGGACCGCCAGCACCACGCACACGTGTTTTGTTGGGATTGCAAAAACTTGCCGCTTCTACTTGCAAGAACGGAGGACGGCACCTTTTCACAACGCGGTTCTCGCTGAAGAAATCTTCGCTGTGAGCGGCCAGAAGCTAGAACATCGGTAACAGCTCCACGAAAGGAGGGTGGCGCATTCCGAAGATGAGGTTCTCGTGGAACAGAATTATCCTGCCATTTCGCATTCCTCCGAACGAAGGGTGCACGGCAGTTCCTTTTCAAAACAAGACTCTCGCACGAATGGCAGGTCCATGGGTGTGCTGCCGCATCGTAGATGCATCCGGGGTTTACGCTGGTCCTCCTTTTCATCCTCGTCCTCCTCAGCCACAATCCGATTAACATGAATCTCCAGACGCCACATCGGGTCCATCCTGGCTAATTTGTTCCATCCTGGATCGATGTTTGAGGGCTCTGGGGCCCGAAGCTGGCCCCCACAGACAGCACAAGTGTTCCGAATATCCTCCTCCTCCTCCCTCCTCCTCCCTCCTCCTCCTCCTCCTCCTCCTCCTCCTCCTCTCCTCCTCCTCCTCCCTCCTCCCTCCTCCTCCTCCTCGTCCTCATCCTCCTCCTCTGGAGCGTCCTGCAGCCCAACGTACTTCTCTCCATTGCCCGTGTAGCAGTCGAACGGCTCCGAGGTGGCGTTGGCCCTCCTGCAGTTCCTGGGGCTGGGCTCCACAGGGTATGAGGCTGCGGTCAGGATCGGTTGCACACCGCATCGCGGCGGCGGCGGCCCCAGCGACACGCCGTGCCTGGCAAGCGGATGGCGCGTCGCTCCGCTCCGCGTGGCGAGAGGCTGGGAAAAGCTCGGCACGTTGACGCTTGGGGACAGGGACGTGGATAACGTGCTGCGCCGCAGCGGGGTGGGCCAGAACCGCCGGCACGACACACCAAGCCAAGGTTCCTGACCAGATCCCTTTTTCTTCCATTTTCTCCGCTGCTCTCCCTCCTCCCTTCCCCCCCTCCTGGTGAACACGCACTGACTGCCATGATACTTCCTCCTGCTCCCCCCTCTCCTGCTCCTAACTGCGGGTGGCTTCTCCTGAATGTGCTACCGCTGCACTCCCCCCAGGCGTGGTCCCTCTCCTCCTCCTCCCCCTCCCCCTCATCCTCCTCCTCCCCCTCCTCCTCCCCCCCTCCTCTTCCTCCTCCTCCTCCTCCTGGCTCCCAGCTCCCCAGATGTCCAACCTCGTGCGTTCTCACGGCGTCGAGCCCCGGAGGCCCCGACCCCCCCTCCCCCCCGAGTCCCTCCCTGGCTTCGCGCTCCTCCCCACACCCTCTCTTTGACTGCCCGGGGCCCAGCCGGTGACGACCTACCAGCCCATCCCAACCCAGCCTGAAGACCCCAATTTCGGGTTGGAGGGGGGGGTACGGGTTCCATATGTGCTTTTTCATTGTCCCTCGACCCCCCCACACCCGACATGGAGGGCAAATTGAGGCCTTTCGGGTTGGGTTGGGGTGGTTTGGTGGGCGGTGAGCAGGGGGCCACGGAGGCCGAAACATTCGAAACATTCGGTCGCCCCTTTCCAACGGCCAGTCTGCTCGATGAGTGGGCCCAAAGACCTTTTGAACCCTTCCCCAGGGCTGATGTTTCACCCCAAGCCGTCGTCTGACGGTCCCTAGATACAGCGTCCAATGCAGGGCGACAAACTGGCCGCCTCGATGTGTTCGATGAGTCGCACGCGCGAAACCGACCATGTACAACGAACCCTTGTGGCAAGCTCCGATCCCTCCAACTCTGCGGGGTCCAACCAGAGCAGATCGGAGGCGGAGGACGAGGAAACGGGAAAGAAACGGGGCTGAACAAAGGAAGGCCCAGCCTGAGCTCAGTCAAAGGGGGGAGCCCCCCTCGAGCGCTGCGCAATCTTCTTTTTCCTCATCCCCCATACCTCTCACTCCACCTCCCTTCTCTCCTCAATGCGGTCGGTGGTAGCGCAGCTGAGAGCTTACCGAACCAACAGCGAAACCAAAACCGACAACAACCAATAGGCAGCAATCAGCCTGGAAGGGCGTGGGCCGCGACGCAGCAGCGACACACCACCACCACCACCACCACCACCACCACCAACAACAGCAACAGCAACAGCAACAGCAACAGCAACAGCAACAGCAACAGCAGCAACAACAAACACCGAACCGAAGCGAACCGACCCGACTGAACGCAACAAACTGAGGCGTAGCCGAACCGTCCGAACCGCGGACACCCTCGCTCCTCTTCAGCAGGGACCGGCCGTCCCCGAATTCTTGTAGGCCTACCGCGAGGTTTTTAGTTTCCAGAGCAGAAGGACATTCTCAAGACGGAAGTCATATCCTTTGTCGCAAGCCACTGTCTTGATCAAGACGATGTCAGTCAGGCATGCCGCATGAACATACTGTCATACATAGAAGCAAAGTTCGTTGCGCCTACAGGCAAGCCGTTACGCTGGTCATGCTGCTCCCTTCCTCCCGCCACCTACACACAACAAGGGGGGTGAGGCGCTTCGCGGATCTGCATGGCTTGTACGGTCGGGAACTGTTGGATAGCGTGTCGCCCCAGCGGCCCTGGCGACACGCTATGCCGTTTGAGTGGATAGCGTATCGCTCAGCTCCGCGGGGCGGGAGGCTTCGAAAGGCTCGGCACGTGGAAGCTTGGGGGTCGAGAAGCGGATATATCGTGTCGCGCCAAAACGTGGTGGGCCAAAACCGGCGGAGCGACACGCGATCCAAAAAGTCCCGACCGTATAATGCTCCTTGAACAGAGTCTTCCGACTTGCCCACCCGAGGCCTCTCGAGCACTCCTGGGGCCATCTTTGTGGCCTCTTGGGCCGTCTTGGGCCGCTGCAGAGCCGAACATGAACAAACGCCCACGTGCCTCAAACACATCTGAACCACGTACGATGTTGGCCTCTTGGGCCCGTCCTGGAGGTCCTCTCGGAGGCCTCTTGGGCCCGTCTTGGAGGAGAGGAGGAGGAGGAGGAGGAGGAGGAGGAGGAGGAGGAGGAGGAGGAGGAGGAGAGGAGGAGGCGGAGGAGGAGGAGGAGGAGTAGGTGGAGGAGGAGGAGGAGGCGGAGGAGGAGGGGGGGAGGAGGAGGAGGAGGAGGAGGAGGAGGAGGAGGAGGAGGAGGAGGAGGAGGAGGAGGAGGAGGACTCAGCCGATTGTGAGGCCACTGCGTCGGAGTGGCAGGGGAGGGGCACCTGCCTGGCGGGCGGCGGGGAAGCGCACGCGCGTCAGCTCCGATCCTCGCTCGCCCGGCTGTCGTCGGCTTCGCTCGCCCTCTTGTCGGCGGCGAGCCGAAGGGGGGCAGCCAGGAGAGGGGGCGGGCCTGCTCGGAGGGCTCGGAAGGCCTGCGGTCGCCCGCGAGGTTCTCCAGGCCTCCCCCTAAAGGCACATGATGCTTCTTCGAGGGCGCGAGGGCGGCCGAGAAGGCCCCGCCACCCCCTGAGAAGGCCTGCCCCCCGCACTCCCCCACCCCCCCTAAAACATGGCTAGTATCGGGATAAATCGCTCCAGAGCGTTCCGGAGCGCTCTCAGAGCGTTCCGGAACGCTCTGGAGCGGCCGCGGCGCCCAATACATCCTCCAAACCCGCCGATTCTCAGAGATTTCGAGTTATCCCGATCCGATTTTGTCCCGATCTTCGCGTCGTTTGACCCCCCCAGGCGCGCCCCCGATCCTGCGCAGTCGTGACCCGACCACTCTCGGGTCGGGAGGGGGGGGGGGACAGCAAGCAGGGGGGTCAGCAGATCAGCCCACGGGGCTGGCTTCTCGGGCGCCTCCCGGCGCCAGTGCATCAAGGGATGCGCACGGCGGCGGGGCCGAAACCAGCTACACGCAGCAGGCTTCGCACTCCCCCTGTCCCAAGCCCCCCGTTCGTCCGACCCGACCTCCGTGTCCATCTCCTCCCTTCGGCATTTCCTCCTGACCCACCCCCTGAACAGTCAGGGACGTTGACGAACCAAGACGTCGGCGCACCCGAGAAAACTGCAGCCGTGCGACGAGACATTCTCCCTTGCCCGTTGCCTCCTGATGACACTTCCAGAGCCTTGGTTCGCATAGCCGCTGCTCAGAAGGCCCCCGAGGGGGAACGCTCGGGGGGGGCAGCTCAGGGGGAGAAATATCGACTTGGAAGCGGCGATGCACCGGCGATAGATCGGCGGCATGCCCCCGACAGCGAATCCCCAAATTTCTGGGCGGGGCGGGCTACCCGGCCCCCTGTTAGCGATGACTGGGCGACTGGGGGGTCGGTGCATCTCCCGCTGAGCCCACATCCTGCAGTCGTTGGTTACCGGCAGCCCCAGAGCGCCCTCACTGAAGCGCAGCAGATACGTAGAAACCATCCAAAGATTCGCAAACTTCAAACACTTCCAAAAAATTCTCCCTCCCCTCCCGCCCAGCCTACCCTCCCTAACTGTTGCCCTGAGCTGGCGCGCCCAGAATGGGTACGGAAAAAACGGGCACAGTGCGCAACAGCAACTGCTGTCCAAGACCGACAGCGGCTGCTGGGCGGGCGACCTTTCGCCTTGAATGGGCACCGCCTGCGGTGGCACCGACAGCGAGCCCGGCTCAAAACGGAGAGAAACTGCTGTGGGTCTTCGCCCCCATTCTCCCAGTTCCGGTGCGATCGCCCCGACCGACGCCCCCGCGGCTGGCCGCACATCTTCTGGTGCACCGGCCTGTCGGTGCCTGTGAGGCCACGAAACGTGTGAGGGGTGTGCCGAAATGGGTGTGGGGGACGCATGCGGGCGGTGGCACTGGGGCCTTCGGTGGAGCTCCATATGGGGCCACGAAACGTGTGTGCCGAAATGGGTGTGGGGGACGCATGCGGGCGGTGGCACTGGGGCCTTCGGTGAGACTCCCTATGAGGCCACGAAACATGTGAGGGGTGTGCCGAACTGGGTGTGGGGGACGCATGCGGGCGGTGGTTCTGGGGCTTTCGGTGGAACTCCATATAGGGCCACGAAACGTGTGAGGGGTGTGCCGAAATGGGTGTGGGGGACGCATGCGGGCGGTGGCACTGGGGCCTTCGGTGGAGCTCCCTATGGGGCCACGAAGCGTGTGAGGGGTGTGCCGACATGGGTGTGGGGGACGCATGCGGGCGGTGGCACTGGGGCCTTCGGTGGAGCTCCCGGTGGGGCCACGAAACGTGTGAGGGGTGTGCCGAAATGGGTGTGGGGGACGCATGCGGGCGGTGGCACTGGGGCCTTCGGTGGAGCTCCCTGTAGGGCCACGAAACGTGTTAGGGGTGTGCCGACATGGGTGATGATGCTGGTGATGATCACGGTCGTGATGATGATGACGATGATGATGACGATGATGATGATGCTGCTGATGATGATGATGATGATGACGATGATGATGATGACGACGCTGGTGGGGATGATGATGATGATGATGATGATGATGATGATGATGATGATGATGATGATGATGATGATGATGATGATGATGATGATGATGATGCCGATGTCGATGGTGATGATGACGGGAGGAGAGAGGAAGGGGAGGAGGAGGAGGAGGAGGAGGAGGAGGGGGAGAGGAGAGGAACGCGGGGCGACGCCTCTTCAAAACGAGGACCCATCACCACAGGATGGTCGGGAAAAACCACGACGCGCACGCCCAGAAGCTCGGAGGCGACGCGAGGGGCGAATAGCCCCAGGGGGGAGCAATACATGTGTCCAGGGGTGCCGATGACCTCTGTCTTCGACAAGGCTCCCGGGCGAATGCGTGTAATGTTGTGGATGCCACAACAATGGACACTCTAAACATCCGAGCATTGAATTAAAATGCGTTTAGCATGTGTGAAACATGGCATAAACATGTTTCAAACACGTTTTTACATAGTTAACCCATGTTTGAGACATGTTTTAGACATCTGGACACTATTTGGCAGCATGCTTCCTCTCCGTAGTTAAGGGAACCAAAAATGACATACACATAAAACTCGGAGGTCCGCGCGGATTTCTCGGATCGGCGCTGGACCCCCTCCCTGGCGCGCGGAGCGCGCCAGGGGCGGCGCCGGAGGCGCCCCCAGAGGGGGTCCAGCGCGGATCCGAGAAATCCGCGCGGACCTCGGAGTTTTTACGTTTATGCCACTTTTTGTTTCCCTAATCATGCCCGCCCCTGGGCTGTTCGCCCTTCTCGTCGCCGCCCCAAAAAAGCGTCGGCGCCCGCCCGAGACCCGCCGCAGCTCGAGCCGCGCCAGCGGGCCGCCCCGCCCGGCCCGGAGCCGCGCCCGGGGCCCCCGCGGGGGGGGGGGGGGGCGGCGGGCTCCCGCGCGAGCGGGCCGCAGACCCGCCGCCGTCGGCGCCCTGCCTGCGGGGGGGTGGGGGCTTCCTCCTCCTCTCCTGCTCCGCCTCCGCCTCTCCTCCTCCTCCTCCTGCCTCCTCCTCCTCCTCCTGCTCCTCCTCCTCCCTCCTCCTCCTCCTCCTCCTTCTCTGCTCTCCTCCTCCTCCTCCTCCTCCTTCCTGCTCCTCCTCCTCCTCCTCCTCCTCCTCCTCCTCCTCGTCTTCCTCCTCCTCCTCCTCCTGCTCCTCCTGCGTCGGCAGAGGGGGGGGGGCGCGGGCGGGGGGGGGGGAGGCGTCAAGACGAAGCCAGGGCGAGGGCGACATCGGGCGAGGATGGATCGGGAAGCTCTGGGACCCGGCGGCTCCGGGAGATGCCTCGGGCGCCGCGGCCTTCGCGGAGCGTTCCGGAACGCCTCGAGATCGTTCCGGAACGCTCAGGGAAGGATTTGTTCTCGTCCCAGACCCGTCCGAGCTTCGCCACAGGGCCCAGCGTGCGGCCGGACCTAGGGCAGAAAAACATCCTTCCAGAACATGAGAGACCGTCCGCCAGCCGAAGTGGAGAACATCCGAGGGTGCCCTCCCCCAGGATGCACACAAGAACATCCGACAAGCACGAAGAGCATCAGGGTGCCCCCCCCGGGTCGACCTCGACCTTATACCTCGGTCCGACCGTGAGCGGTGTTCTGGTGGCTCGTTCTGTTCTCGTGTTCGCTCGCCCTGGATACGTTCCACCTTGCGTGCAAGACAGGCCGAAAACGGGCACGGCCCGCAAACACTGCATGAGCACCGTTTTGGCCGAGCCCTGATCCGTGATGGTTGCGCAGGAGCTCCGCCCGTCGCACAGGGGTCCGGCCACAGGGAGAGCCGGCGGCCAGCCCGGGGGGGGCGGGCCTTCTCGGAAGGCTCGGAAGTAACCCAGCCCTGGGAGAAGTCTCTGAAGCCCCCCCCCCGAAAGCACAGAAAGAAGCCTCTCTCGGAAGGCGCGAGGGCTTCTCAGAAGCCCCGCCGCCTTCTGAGAAGGCCTTCCCCATCTCAGACCCCCCTTTCGCTCGCCGCCAATCTAGTATCCTGTAGAGATGGGTGGGAGAGGACTCCTCCTCGGTCCCCGCACCCGTCACCGCCCTCAGAAGGCTCGGAAGTCCTCAGGCCCTCGGAAGTTTCCGAAGCCTTCCCCGAAGACGCAAAACAAAAACTTCCCTCAGAAAACGCGATGGCTTCTGAGAAGCCCCGCCGCGTTCTGAGAAGGCCTTCTCCTTCTCCCTCCCCCCCCTCGCTGGACCAACAAGTGCTTCCGCCTCGACAACTCGCCCCAGGACCACGAGCAGGATGGGAACCCCTGAAACCTGGATCTCCGGATTTTGGAGCTCGAAGTCACGGAACAGCATACGGACATGCTCATGCCGCAAGAGGAGCGGATCGAGGACATCCAGTTCCCGCGCGGTCTCGGGGGCCGAGAGAGGCTCCATGCGTCAAGCAGGCGCAGGAGCAGGTGGACGAGGAAGTTCTCGGGCCACTTCTTGGGCAAGCTGCAGCGCAAGTGGCAACACTTGCAGGCTTCGGCTGGCGGCAAGGCAGCGCCCGAGGACCAGAGCCAAGGCACCGCCAAGCTGAAACTCCAAGGCAGGACCGCCAATGCAAAGAAAGGCCCCTCCGAGAACTCCAAGGCCAAATTGCAAAGAAACAGGAGCAAGAAGAAGCAGGCCAAGCAGAAGCAGAAGGTCGGCCTCGAGATTTGCGAGGACTCCACCTGGCACGGCAAGGAAGTCCGCGTCACCGAGGAGGGCCTCCACGAGGGCAGGCACGGCAGAGTGCAAGACGTCTGACGCTTCCCAGCCTCCGAAAGCGCCTTCTTGCTCGAGTGCTCGAGGTTGACACCGCGGCGATCTTCCAGATCGACATCAGCGAGGCTCGGGGGGAGGGGTGGGGCACAGGCGAAAGAATGAGGAGAAGGAGGAAGAGGAGGGGGAGGAGGTAAAAGGAAGCGGAAGGCAAGTGGAAGCTGGCGGAAGCAGGCGGACGCGGCGAAGAGGGGGAGGAGGAAGATGGAAGCGGAAGGCAAACGGGAGCTGGAGGAAGCAGGCGACGCGGCGGAAGCAGGCAGAAAGACAAGCCCCTCCCCCCATGCGCCGCAAAATCGTAGGCGAACAGGACTGGAAGCCCCCGAGGCCCCAGAAGCTGGACCAGCGAGCGTGCAAGGCTGGGCGGCGAAATCTAAATATATGGTCCAGGGCTTGGGCCCCTCCCCCCCCCAATGCTGATGCCATTGCCCCCCCCCCTCCCCCCCCGCGCGATGGTTCCCCCCGCCCCCCCTGTGGGCGTGGCGTGGTGCTGCGGTGCGGTGCCCCCCTCTCCCCCCTGTGGATGTGGTGTGGTGCTGTGGTGGTTCAGAGGTGGGCGTGGCGTGGTGCTGCGCTGCGGTGCCCCCCTCCCCCCACTGTGGATGTGGTGTGGTGCTGCGGTGGTTCAGAGGTCGTCGTCGTCGTCGTCGTCGTCGTCGTCGTCGTCCTCGTCGTCCTCGTCGTCCTCGTCGTCGTCGTCGTCGTCGCCGTCGTCATCGTCGTCATCGTCGTCGTCGCCGCCGCCAGCGCCGTCGCCGCCGCAGCCGTCGTCGTCGTCGTCGTCGTCGTCGTCGTCGCCGTCGTAGTCGTCGTCGTCGTCGCCGTCGTCGTCGTCGTCGCCGTCGTCGTCGTCGTCGTCGTCGTCGTCGTCGTCGTCGTCGTCGTCGTCGTCGTCGTCGTCGTCGTAGTCGTAGTCGTCGTCGTCGTAGCCGTAGCCGTCGTCGTCGTCGTCGTCGTCGTCGTCGTCGTCGTCGTCGTCGTCGTCGTCGTCGTCGTCGTCGTCGTCGTCTCTGGGACCATACCATCTGGGGGGGGGAAGCCCGAAGAATCCTGGGACCATACCATCTGGGGGGGGGGGCGTGGGCCCAGAGCCCGGGACCATATATCCACTGCCCTTTGGCCAGGCCCATCCTGGACCCAGGAGCTGTGCGTGCGCCTTCCTGGCCAAGGCAGGAGGGCGTGGCGTGCGCACCGCTGCTCAGTATATATATATATATATATATATATATATAAGTGTGTAGATATCGTCGCCCTGCAAGGTGCCCCGCCGCACCGAGCTGGCCAAGGAGTACGCGATCATGAACTGCGAGCTAACCAAAAAACGACACCCTCGAGCTGGGCACGGTGAGTGCGCTGCTCGGCGCGGTCGTCCACCGCGTGGGCGCCCCCTGACGGCGTGGTGGTGGTCGAGTCCACGGTAGCCGTCGCCTGGGCTCGAGAGGGCCAGGGCGAGGACAAGCCCACAGCCGTGCAGCAGGACAAGGAGAACTGCTTGGCCGAGAGAGTTGAGAAGGACACGCACCTGCTCATCGCAGTGCACAGCGAGGCCCCCGCGCACTTCACCGGCTTCAAGGTGGGGGCCGACGTGGCCATCGAGTACCGCGACGCCCTCAAGAAGCCGCCCGCGAACCCCAAGCAGGCCGCCACAATGATCCTCCGCAAGCTCGGCACCATCGGCCCTGGCCCTGACGAGGAACGCACTCCGAGCAGCAACGAGACTTTCCAGGTGGACGGCTAATCATGCGGGCTCTGGGTGACGACGTGGATCGAGCGCACCTTGCGCGAGATCCGCGGTGAGAGCCGACAAATGCCCGTCAGCATCGGCATAGCATGCAGCCGAGGCAACGACTGGATCCAGCGCCTCCAGGCCGAGAGCGACAACACCTCGGCGAAGACCTCAGCCAAGGCCAAGGGCAAGACCAAGGCGCCGCAGGACCCGCTCGAGAGCTAGCCCAAGCACCAGACCCTCAAGAAGGCTCTCGAGGCAGCCCAGGCGTGCACCAAGTGCTTGCCCAGCAACGACGGCCCCGAGGGGTGCCGAGGCTGCATGGGCGCACATTTCGAGACTGTTCGCACGAGGGGCTTCTTGGCGCGCTCCGCCAAGAACCTCAAAGCACAGGGCGAGCTGTAGTAAAAGAAGAAAAAGAAAAACGCATAAGCATTAACTGTTGGCGCTCCGCGCGGATTTCTTGGATCCGCGCAGGACTCCCCTCCCTGGCGCGCAGAGCGCGCCATGGGCGGCGCCGGAGGCGCCGCCAGGGGGGCCAAGCGCGGATCCAAGAAATCCGCGCGGAGCGCCAAAAGTTTATGTTTATGTGGTTTGGTCTTCTTTTATGTAGGCCTCTGACGAGACGCCGAGGTGCTGGGGACCGAGAGCCTCGAGGCCGCGGCTATCAGAGTAGAGAGCTCCTGCCAAAGCGAATGGCGCACGCAGGTCTCGAGCCACCGGCCAGGCCCTCGAGGAAAACCGCAATGCACGAGGGGTTCCTACGCCTCCCACCCCTCCAGAAACCTCCCCCCACCCGTCCATGGAGGCCTCTCCAGAGCGAGCAAGGGAGGAGTATACCATACTGGTTCTCGGGTGTCGTGCCCCCCCCACTCCTGGAGGGCCCCGCCAGAGCGAGCAGGGGATCACTATACTAAGCTATTTCTCCGGATTCGTGCTCCTCCGACCCCTCCTGGGAGCCCCTCCAGAGCGAGCAGGCGCTATACCATGCTAGTTCTCAGGTTTCGTGCTCACCCGACCCCTCCAAGGAGGCCACACCAGATCGAGCAAGGCATCTCTACACAATACTATTTCTTCAGTTTTGTACCCCTCCGACCCCTCCAAGGAGACCCCGCCAGAGCGATCAGGGCGTCGCTATACCATACTAACAGATCATCTTACAAACGAGTTGCCGGGACGACGAATCGATGTTCCCCCCGAACCCCGAACTTGATCATCCCCACCTTGCGTTTCTCAGGGGCAAACAATTATCTAGCACAGTGGCCCCGAGCTGGAACTACGTGCGTTCTTCTGTCTCGAATGGGCACAGGCCGCGGCGGCGTGGACAGCGAGTCCTGTTCAAAATGAACAGGAACTGCTGTTGGGCATTGTACCCATTATTTCTGTACCCATTTCGCTCGTGCAGAATATCCAACATGTGGTCGCCTGGCCTTATGTCTGAGCAGGTCGTGGTGCCTCGAGCGAAG